TCCACCCCTTAGGAACATTCGTCCCCGAGTGACACAAAAATCTTTTTGTAGGGAGAGGATGACTCAAGACTAGCAGCCCAACCAAAAACAACTAATACAAACATGAGTTACAACTCAAATCAACATATGAACATGATATTTACACATAGCAACTCAAATCACAATTTATCACCGACAAGAGATCAACATCACAACATGAAGAACTACCTACTCAATATCAACATGAACTGAACATGCGCATCAAGTCATTTATGCCAAACTTATTTTAAATGCATTTACATACTCAATACTATTTCATGAAGTGACAAATAAGTGGAATTTAAGCAAAAGAATATTTTCACATGCAAACTAATATTAGATAGAACATTTTTATTATAATTATGCATATTTTAGCAAAACAGGACAAAACAAATTTATTTATTATTTTTGAGAGGATTATTACTTACATCAACTATGGATAGAATTTTGACAAAAAATATGAGGATAACGAGATTTCATGTCGGCCTCAGCTGTAAAAACCCAAAAAATGGCTATGCTAAATAATTCTTAATGTGCCTACAATGCCTTCGATTAGACCGGGTTTACGCGTTTTGATGCGCGTAGAACCAGACCTCTGAACACTTACAACAGCCAATCCAACTAACTTGTAGATTTAATTTATCTAGGAAAGGTTGGTTCCAGAAATGTAGGGCTCTCAAATATGAGTATTTACTTGGATGAGTCTTTACCGAACTTAGAGATGGAAAATCATAAGTTTGGAGGGTCTAGGGGTAAAATGGTCTTTTTTCAGACTAAGGGTAGTATCTTAATTGCCCAAAAGATATATTTAATTATTTAATAAAGAATTTAGAGGGGTATTTTGGGGTGAGAGGGCCGAAATTTCTCCCCTAGAGTGAAGTCTTGCTCCACCCGGGTTCGAGCCTTGGTGGAAGCAATGAGTTAAATATGTGTTATTTAAGTTGGTAAATTAATTTAATTAACTAAGCCTAATAAAACTATAACTCTCTCACGTCTATCTCCTCAACATTGATGATCATTCTCTTTTCCCATTCACGTTCTCTCTGCCAAATAACATTCAAGAACAAAAAATTTACCAAGGTTCTTCACACTTGAAGAACTCATATGCAAATATAAGAAAACAAACGTAAATCAATCACATAGGTAAAGAGAAGGTTTTCTGCTGAGTGGGGTGTTGAACTTTCGGTGTTGGATGTGTGTTTGGAGATGTTTTTGGGCAGAAATTTGGGCTTTGAATGTCAAAAAGGTATAAGTTCTCTTCTCTCTTGGTCCGTTTCCCAAGAGACCCCTAAGGTTCTGTATATTCAATCCGAAAACTAGGGTTGTTCCTCGTTCCATGTCCCTGTCACTAGATCCTAATAATTCATAGGTTGGATATGTTTGCTGGTAGATATTAGGCGTGTGTTGTTTTTTTGTGATGAATATGTTCATGTATGTGTGTTTGAAATCGTATGAACTATTACCTATGTGATCCGAAACTATGTGTATGTGTGCGATATGTGAACCATGACTATGTGCCTCGGGTTTAAGGCTCTAAAATGTGATGTTATTTCTTTGTGTTTCATGTATACATGTTTATGTAAATCATGATGTTCATAAGTCATATAAAGATTCTGATTTGAGTGCAATTTTTTATCGAATGAAATCTTAAAAATGCACATAAAGAACTCACTAAAAACTACTTAAAACTTCTAAACATTAAATGTTAAAGAAGTGAGAAAATAGGCTGCAAAATTTTCTAGCATCTTGTTAATGAGTTTCGGCCAATCTAAGGGGATTTTCATGCTACAAAAAATGAATTCAAATATATGAGATCACTGGGGATTGAACCCGTGACCTCCCCTTGTTAAAAATCAACGAAATAATATGAGAAAAAGGGAATGTGACATGTGGGGTTCGAACCCATGATCTTGGCTAGAAAATGAATTATGAAAATAAGAGATGAGAGAATGTGATTCAAACTCACCACCTCTCAGTCAACCTAAAAAAATTAAAATAAAAAATAAAGGGTGAGGCGCGTGGGAATCAAACCCACGACTTCTAGGCTGAACCAAGGGAAATTAAGAAGAAGAAATTAAACTGGGGTTGTGGGGGTTCGAACGCACACCCCCTCGACCAAAGTAGAGAAATTAATAGAATTGAAAACTAAAAGTAAATGAGGTTGTGGGGTTTGATCCCACATCCTCTCGGTCCCATTGTGCCAAAAATGAAGAGAAAAATTAAGGAAAAAATAAAATGAAGGCGTTGGGGCTCGATCTTTGGTAGCCAAGCCGTATGGATCAAATCAAAATGAATAATAAAATATAAGTGTTGTCCAAGGGATTCGAAACTGGGTTCCCTTGCCCAAATTCTATATTGATACATAAGTCATACGTGAATTCAATATTCAAGAATAATGATGCCTACTTAGATCGAAATTGAGATTTTTGCATACATAGAAGATACATAATTTTTGTACCACATAATCTTAGAAATATATGTATCACTTAAACGAACTATGAAGAAGCCTCATGGCTTGTATGCATAGTCACATAAGTCTAGCATACGTTTAAAAATAATTGAACCTAAGATGTATGTAATGGAATGATGTAACCCTAGGAGGGTTAAGTAAGAGTGTAAAACATGCTAAATGGACAAGTGAATTGGCACATGATGAAATGAACAATGAAATGATTCAATGAACTATGAAATGATGAAATGAACTATGAAATAATGAAACCCTTGAAGGATTAACTAAGAGTGTGAAACACACTAAATTGCAAGTGCATTGGCATATGATGAAATGAACATTCACGTAAAAAGGTGAGTAATTATGAAGAGCAAATGTGCAAATGTTAATGAATGCGGTGACAACATGATATGAGGCTAATGTAAAAGATAAGAGCAATCTCAAATGATCCTAAGTAAATGTTACAAAAACATACTCACCTATGAGAATGTTAAGTTAACGAAGAGAACAGTCTCTATGAACACTCTAATGAAATATTTAGATTAGCACACTTAATACTAATGATGAGATGAGAAATCATCTATTGAGCTATGATGTCCTCATATTATAATCCAACTTCTATGACTTATGAGCTTAATATAAAGGAACTTTATACTCAGCATTGATAGACTAGATGTGAGCGGTGATGACTTCTTAGGGAAGGGCGGAGGTTCATGTAACTCTCATTAGATGAGGTTGTCCAGCATGCCATGTACGGGTATACTTATATCTCCTAGTATTCAAAACTATACTATTAATATAGGGATCTAGCGGTGTTCAATTACTGTGTATGCTAACATGTTTTGGGTCACTTTGGACTGTGATTCCACCTCTTTTCAGTGTAGGGGAGACACTGGATTTCATGATGCTCACATGATCTATGTTAGTTAAAGTAAAAGTTCCCAATGAATGAATAAGGTCAACCTCAAAGGATGCACATAATGAAATGAATGATACCAAATGTGTAAGGATGGGATGATCAAGAGGTGAGTTAGACTCAAGTAATGACATTAGGTCATTCTTGGTCATTGTACAATGAACCCAATGAAATTCTTAAACTACATCCTAGGTATAGCAGATATTCATACAATCCGATGAACGAAATGAAATGAAGTACGTATGAATGAATGAAACAGAATCTGTGTTTGCTTAAGAAGGCTACCTAGTTGAGGTCCCATATATTGAGCCCTCATATTTGGTCGATATTGATGTCAACTCCATGATTCCAAGGTCTCATGGCATATTAACGAATGGTATACAAACTGTTATATGCAATATGCAATATGTTATGTTCTACGTGAAAGATGTTATTTGATGTGTGCAATATCATAAGTATGATGATGCATGTTACTCTCATGTCATGACTTCCATAATCTAATTGTGGAAAGATCACTCACTTTCCTTATCCAAATTTTAAAAGCTCACTAACTTTCCTAGTCTCAATTTTGCAAGTCCACTGACTTGACTTTCCATAATCATGTTGTTTGGAAAGAGTTGTTCTTAATCATGCATGTACTTGGTGTGTGCTTGCATATGCCCATAATTAATACAAAATTGTACTAATTCCATACAAATCTACAATTTTAGGTGCAGGCACATCTGGATGGTAGAGCTTACTTGCTGACGTTGGAGCTATCCGGATGTGGAGCTTTCATCCAAACTTGGTAGGCCCTCATTCTTTCGAGGATATCTATTGTTATTATCTAGCTTAGATGTAGGTTTTAGCTAGTGGAGTATGTTCCACTAGTTTTTCTTTTCAGACTTTGTATTGGTGTCGTTTTGCCAAGAATACGTTTAATACAATTATGAACTATTTTTTCATTTGATTATCTCTATATTAGTTGGTTGATTTGTGAAAGCCTATGCTGTTAATTTTAAAATGTACAACATGATATAAGAAACCAAAAAGTTCAAATTTTCCACTAAAATTAGCCTAGATGAAGTAAGAATGACGTACGTAGGCTTGTCTACGACCTCTAAGAGATCAACGATGTCGGTCTCATCTGCGGTCTAGATTTTGGTCATGATAAAGTTGATATCATAGCACTAGGTTAAATTATGAGGACAATAAGTTTACATCTACCACATTGAGTAGTTTCTAAGTCATGGTAGTGAAGTGCACCACTATCCTGAATTAGAGACAGCATAATGCGTAGGAATATTTCCCTTCGTCTGATCTTATAGTGCCTTTCCTAATGTCAAATTTCTTGATGTCATGAGAGTGTCTAATATTAATCCTTGTTGTTTTCAAATAATAAAAACTAGGAGAACCATTGGTCAAAGGAGAGGAGGAGTAGCTGTTGGGGACAATAAGGTTCCACCCCAGGCTCCAGCTGAAGGAGTGGCTATGCCGGTTAACCCTGCTGGGTTGAATGATGATGTGGTGAGGGCATCTTTGGCCCAGATAGCATAGGCCATCACTATGTAGGCCCAAGCCATGATTGACCAGGTCAACCGGTAGAATGTTAAGAGGGAGAACCCATCAGCTCGCAGTATGGCCGACAGGCTGAGAGACTTTATGAGGATGAATCCTCCTATTTTCACAGGGTCTAACACTTCGGAGGATCCTTATGAGTTTGTGGATAAGATCTTGGTGGCTCTGGGGGCCACAAATACTGAGAAATCTGAGTTGGCTTCATATCAACTTAAGGATATTGCACAGACTTTGTTTAAGATGTGGCAAGATAGACAAGTTATGGGCGGAGTTCCGGTAATTTTGGAGCTGTTTAAGAGAGCCTTCCTGGAGAGATTCTTTCCCAGAGAGAAGAGTGAGGGCAAGGTTGAGGAGTTCATCACCCTTAAACAAGGATCCATGAAAGTCAGGGAGTATTCCCTGATGTCTCTTAAACTATCCAGTTATGCAACTTCACTTGTATCTAACAGCTGGGATGAGATGAGCCGGTTTCTCACAGGAATAAATGAAGATCAGGAGGAGGAGTGTCGGTCTGCGATGCTCCATGATAACATGGACCTCTCCAGGTTTATGGTTCATGTCCAACAGGTAGAGGACAACCGCAAGAAGAGGGCCATTCATGATGCTAGGAGGCCTAAGCCTCAAGATCAGGCAGGTCCAAGCCATGGAAGCCACAGAAACAATTTTGGTGTCATGAGCAGCGCATGTTCATAAATGGGAATAGAGTTCAGGGAACTCTAATTCTAAGAGGAGGACAACACCTAGAGGAGGTAGACCCGAGCCCAGAAATGGCATTGGAGGTGAGATACTATCCCAGAAAGGAGTGTGCTAAGTCTGGTCGTGCTCACAGTGGAGAGTGTAGACAGGGCACTAATGCTTGCTTAGGTTCCGATGAGAGTGGGCACATGGTTAAGGACTTGCCATAGAAATGAGGTTACGCTTGAGGTAATGCTCAGCCGAGGCCTAATTCACAGGATGCATCAGCAGCCGAGCCTCCTAAGAGGAACATGTTCTATGACCTAAAGGGCATGATGAGCAGGAGAAGTCCGCTCATATGGTCACAGGTATGATGCAAGTATTCTCAACTTCTTTTTATGCTTTACTCAATCCAGGGTCTACGTTTTCCTTTGTAAATTTTTTGTTTGCTCTCACTTTTGAGATATTTCTTGAGATTTTTCATGATCCTATATTGGTTAGTACACCATTAGGAGAAAATGTAAGAACAGATAGAGTATATAAGGATTACCCAATAGTTGTATGTTGTAAAACTACGTGTGCATATTTGGTTGAGTTACCAATGCATGATTTTGATGTTATTCTTGGCATAGACTGGCTTCATAGTTGTTATGCTTGCATGGATTGTCGTAATAGGGTTAAGAGATTCGTTTCCCTAATGAAGAGAGCTAGTATTTGAGGGGTACAACTCGAGTTGTCCTAATCCCTTGATTTTGAATCTTAAAGCCAATAAAATGATATCCAAGGGGTTATTATTTCATCTTGTGAGTGTTAATGATTTAGATCATGACATTCTTTCCATAGACTCACTGCCTGTAGGGAATGAGTTCCGAGATGTATTTACTGAAGATTTGCATGTAGTTCCTCCCCCTTGAGAGATTGACTTTTCTATCGACTTGAAACCCGATACTAGACCTATTTTATTTCCTTGTTACCGAATGGCTTTAGCTGAACTCAAAGAGTTGAAGCTGCAGTTAAAAAATCTCACTAATAAGGGTTTCATTCAGACGAGCATATCCCTTTTGGGCGCTCCAGTGTTGTTTGTGAAAAATAAAGATGGAACCCTTAGAATGTGCATCGATTATCAGCATCTCAAAAAAGTCACTATCAAGAATAAGTATCCACTTCCCAAAAAAGATGACTTGTTTGACAAACTCCAAGGGTCTAGTTTCTTCTCAAATATTGATCTTCGTTCAGGGTATTATCGGCTTATGTTTAGAGACGGAGATATCCCAAAGACAACCTTTCGTACCCGTTATTGAAACTATGAGTTACTAGTTATGTCGTTTCGTCTCACGAATGCACCTGCTGCATTTATGGATCTCATGAAAAGGGTATTCTGTGAATGCCTTAACTACTTTGTCATAGTTTCACTAATGACATTCTCATCTATTGTAAGACCAAGGAAGAGCATGAACAACATTTGAGACTAACGTTGCAGGTACTTGGACAACATCAGTTGTATGTTGAATTAAGCAAGTGTTTACTCTGGATTAGATCAGTGACCTTCCTAGGTCATGTTGTGTCCGACAAAGGTGTGAAGGTAGATCCCCGGAACACTGAAGCTGTTAAGAAGTGGCCAAAACCTCTTACTCCCATAGATATTCGTAGATTCTTTGGATTGCCTTGTTATTATCGCAGGTTCGTGGAGGATTTTTCTACCATTGCTTTCTCACTGACAACTTTGACAAAGAAAAAGGCCAAGTTTTAATGGATATAGATTTGTGAGAAGAGTTTCCAGGAGGTCAATGATAGACTCACTTCAGCCTCGGTGCTAACTTTGCCAAAGTGTGGTGAGAATTACACAGTGTATTGTGATGTATCTAGGATTGGTTTGGGTTGTGTTCTTATGCAGGGTGTTAAGGTGATAGCTTATACATCTAGAAAACTCAAGGGTCATCAAAAGAGTTATCCTACTCATGACCTAGAGTTGGAAGCTTTGGTATTTGCACTCAAATTGTAGAGGCACTACTTGTATGGGCGCATGTGTATGTTTTAACAGATCATAAGAGTCTCCAATACGCTTTCACACAAGAGAGATGAATCTATGTCAGCGGAGATAGTTGGAACTGTTGAAGGACTGTGAACATAAACATTCACTACCATCCAGGTAAAGCTAATGTTGTAGATGATGATTTGAGTATGATGAGCACGGAAAGTACATCCCACATTGAGGATGGGAATAAAGAGTTGGTGAAAGATATACATAGACTGGCCAGACTGGATGTAGGGTGTTTTAGTTCATCTTAGTTCTGAATCATCCTTAGTAGTTGAAGTCAAGGAGGGTCAGCATCTTCATCATGTGTTGATGGAGCTAAATGACTCAACGTTGGTTAAGATGAATGAGTCTTTTGCTTTGGGAGATGACGACATATATAGGTACAGGGTCAGGCTGTGTGTACATGATGTGGATGATTTTTGTACCAGGATCATTGAAGAGGCTCATGGTACTAGATACTCCATACCCCTAGGTTCCACCAAGATGTATCATGATCTTAAATAGATCTATTCGTGTAAAGGAATTAAGAAGGACATTGCTGATTTTGTGGCCAAGTGTCCTAAATGTCAATAGGTTAAGGCAAAACAACTTAACCCTAGCCGTCTTAGTCAAGTTATTGAGGTTACAAGTTTTAAATTGGAGGCCATTAATATGGACTTCGTGGTTGGTCTTCCGAAGACTAAGAGACATCATGACTCCATATGGGTTATTGTTGACAGGATGACTAAGTCTGCCCACTTTATCCCTGTGAAGTCTACTTAAAGAGACGAGGATTATGCGAAGCTCTACATTGATGAAATTGTGAGATGGAATGGGACTCCTTTGTCTACCATTTTATATAGAGGGGGTCAATACACTTCACATTTCTGGATATCCTTCTATAAGAGCTTAGGCACGCATGTGAAGCATAGTACTACCTTTCATCCTCAGACTAATGGGCGGGCAGTGCACACCAATAAAACATTGGAGAACATGTTAAGGGCGTGTGAGATTGACTTCAAGGGTAGCTGGGATGACTATCTGCCTTCTACCTTTGATAGAGTTCTCGTATAATAATAACTCTCACTCAAGCATTGGGATGGCACCATTTGAGGAATTATATGGTAGGAGGTTTAGGTATCAAGTTGGATGGTTCTAGGTTGGAGAGTCATCAATTTTGGGTCTATAGATAATTCACGAGGCCTTAGAGATGGTCAGGGTGATTAGGGGCAGGTTGGCTACTACTTATAGTCGGCAGAAGTATTATGCAGACAACAAAAAACAACCTTTAGAGTTTGATGTTAGTGACCAGATGTATTTAAAGATATCACCTATGAAGGGGTGATGAGGTTTGAATGGAAGGGGAAGTTGAGTCCGAGGAATGTTAGACCATTTTAGATCCTAAAGTGTGCGGGAGAGTGTCCGATGAGTTGGCATTGCCTGCGGAACTAGCTTTTGTTCATTCAGTCTTTCATGTCTCTATGTTAAAGAAATTCCTAGGTGATCCAGCATCGATTCTAGCTATTGAAGGTTTGGGGGTTGATGAAAATTTATCCTATGAGGAGGGACCTGTTGATATTTTAGGCAGACAGATCAAGCGGCTGTGGAACAAGGAGGTTGCCACAATGAAGTTATTCTGGAGGAATCATTTTCTTGAGGGTTCTACGTGGCAGGCCGAGGCCGATATGAGATCCCACTACCCTCAACTTTTCAGTCCTTGAGGTCAGACTTCCCATTCTTAAGTCTAAGTTTCCTTATCTCTCCATTCCTTATTGCTATTGCTTGTTTGTGAATAATATTTTTGTTATGATCTGACTGGCATTAGCTAGATAGTTAATAGTGTCATTCGAGGACGAATGTTCCTAAGGGGTATATAATGTAACAACCCTAAAAACAGCTATGCTAAATAATGCTTAATGTGCCTTGAATTCCTACCACTAGACCACGTTCACACGGATTGATACATGTAGAACTAGACGTGTGAACCCTTACGACAGCCAATCCAACTAACTTGGGGAGTTAGTTGAGCTAAGGAAGGTTAAGTCCAGCCAAGTAGGGATCCCAAATATGCAGAGATACTTGGATGAATCTTTACCGAACCTAGAAAGGAGAAAATCTTATGTTTGGAAGGTCTAAGGGTAAAATGGTCTTTTTCTAGACTAAGGGTAATATCGTAATTACCCTAAATATATATTTAATAATTTAATAAATAAGATGGATGGGTATTTTAGGGAGATATGACCGAAAATTGGCCGTTAGTATGATGTCTTGCTCCACCCCGGTTCGAACCTAGGTGGAAGCAATGAATTAAATTTGTTTCAATTTAAGTTGGTAAATTAAAGTAATTAATTAATATTTATTATTTATTATATGATTTAAAATAAAAGGGAAATCAGTTTTTGTTATCATTTAATAAAACCTTATTTGACTAAGGGCCTGTTTTGATGGGCTTAATAAAAGCAGCTATAAAAAAGTACTTTTAAAAGTGCTGGAACTTATTTTTAAAATAAGTAGTTATGCGTTTGGATAAAAATGCTGAAGTTGTTATGTCAAACGTGAAAAGGGAAAAATGGAAGAAAGAAATTTTAGGGTTATATGGGTAATTTGGAGATTGTATAAAAATATTAAGAGCAAAAAGATAAAAATGTGGTCAACATAAAACTGCTTATAAGCTAAAAAAAAGCACCCCTTCCCCAGATTTTAACTTTTGGCTTAAAATAAGTTTTTTTTTAACTTAAAATAGGTTATTTTGAGTATTACCAGACAGCTAAATAAGTTAAAAACCAGCTTTTAAGTCAGTTTGACCAGCTTTTAAACTGAGCCAAACAGGCTCTAAGTCCTAAACTAGACCCCTAAGCTTAATAAAACTCTAACTCTCTCACGTCTATCTCCTCAAAATTCACGATCATTCTCTTTTTCCATTCACGTTTCTCTCTGCCAAATTACATTTAAGAACAGAAAATTTACCAAGGTTCGTCACATTTCAAAAACTCACACAAAA